CACATAAGGGATTATGTTCTGAAAAGGCTCCATTACCACTTTGAGTTCTTTGTCGGAGATAGAGCTGTAAATGCTGTCCAAGACGACTATGTGTCTCTTAGGTATCGATATCCATATAGTAATCCAATGACAGTTGTTGTAGTTCACTGGCGTATAGATATCATCAATATCCACCCCCACCCCAACATCTTGTTTGACTGGCAAAATGATGGTACATCACCTGAATAATAATTAAACGCTCCACCAAGGAGTCTTCTTGCCAAACCGTAGACATCTGGCTCTGGTTCTTTAAAATCCTTGTAGTTGGCTCTCCATTGCTGAGAAAAGAGATGATCAAGGAAGCACATCCTCTCGCTCCTGAACGCTTGAGGGTTTTCAGCGTACCTCTTCCTCAGCACATTAATCCAAGCATCAACATGCTGAATTTAAAATAAAACAAGTCAGAAGATATCAGACGACTTACCATTAAGTCGTCTGGTGCGTATTCTACGTAGACGACTGAACAGGCGACTTACCATTAAGTCGTCTGGTAAGTATTCTATGTAGAAGACTTAACAGGCGACTTACCATTAAGTCGTCTGCTAAGTATTCTACGTAGAAGACTTAACAGACGACTTACATTAAGTCGTATACGTGGAATTATAGTGAAAAGATATTAGACGACTTACACAGTCGTGGAGCCAAGATAAGGAGGTTTGGAGGATGTGATACCACTTAGTTGGTGCTATACGTGGTTTATCATCGAAACGTGTGCCATAGTGACTGCAAACACAAAATGTTGAAAAATAATCAGTTTTGTAGACTAAAGCAAGCTATTATGTATGGGAAAACAATCACTTACGGATCAGCTTTCAACCAGTCAGCGAGCTCCTTCAATTTGGTCATGTTAACTGGTCCAAAAGGATTATAGACTGGAGCTTTGGCCTTTTTGGTTGAAATGATCACTTTGGCCGTGCTGTTTACCGTATAAGGAGATTGCTGTGAGGCAGCAAGTTTCCTTGCTCGATCACTCTTCGCACGTTTTATTTCTGCCAAAGCGGTTTCCCTCTTCCCCTGATATCTAGTTTGCTCCTTCACTAGATCTGAAACAGTGGGTTCTTGTTTCTCCAATAGTTCAAGGCTAGATTCTTGAGGAAGGCTCGATTCTGGAGGAAGGCTGGATGGAAGGATCGATTATGGAGGTTTTTCCTGGTTCGGAACTATACTCAGCTCTTTCGAGGAAGTAGCACCTTCCTCTTCCTCTGTCGCTTTACCCCCCTTCGGCAAACTCTTCTTTCCCGCGTTCGACCCATTTACACTTTCACATTCCCTCCCAGCAAGCTCCACTTCCCTTTTCTTGTTGCGAGAGGATGCTTTACTAACCCCGGGTTCATACTTTTTAGGTTGAGATTTTTGAGATTTTTGAGATGATGCCCCTTTCAGATTTTTTGTGATACCAAGGATCTTCTCCACAGCCTCCACCCTTTCAGACAGATACTTCGTCATCTCTGTAAGGCACTTCTCAAACCCTTGAGTCATGCCACTCGAGTACGTCTTTCAAAGAATCCTTCAAAGCATCCTTCAAAGAATCCTTCACGATTCTTTCAATATCCTCTTTGGCCAGTCCACCATCATTGATACCCACCTCTGCCTCTTCCTTTACATCTTCCTCTGCCTCTTTATCTGCCTCTTCCTCTACCTCTGCAGGTAGCCCCTCAATATGCTCTTTACGAGCTTTCTTAAGAGATCTTGGACTCTCTTCCCTCACCAGAACTATCGCTTTCTTCGCTGCCGGCCTTGTCTTGACCCAAGTACTGGTGACTTCCCAGCAATCCATGGTCCAATTCCATGGTTTCTTTATAAACATAAGTTTTATTATGTTCTCCGCGGACGAGTCCTCAGCATCAGAGTCCCATTTTGGAAACATTTCACCAAGGCCCTTCTCAACAAAGTTCATCACCCTAGTCTGCAGTAAATAGAAGATATAAACTTAGATATTGACGGGTTAAGAAAGATGGAAAGAGAAGATTTCGCAGAAAACTTATGATTAAGTCGTCTGGAAAGTCTTCCAGCTGGACGACTTAGCAGACGACTTAAACATAAGTCGTCTGAAAAGTCTTCCAGCTGGATGACTTAGCAGACTACTTATTATTAAGTCGTCTGGGTAGTCTTCCCGGACAACTTAATGATAAGTCCTCTACTAAGTCTTCCAGCTGGATGACTTAGCAGACTACTTATTATTAAGTCGTCGGGAAAGTCTTCCAGCTGGATGACTTAGCAGAGGACTTATCATTAAGTCGTCCGAGAAGATTACCCAGACGACTTAATAATAAGTAGTCTGCTAAGTCATCCAGCTGGAAGACTTTCCGACTTATGTTTAAGTCGTCCAGTTGGAAGACTTTCCAGACGACTTATTCATAAGTTTTCAAAAAGTCTTTTGGATTGAAGTAAATACCTATCTTTCAATAGATTCTTTAAACAATCTTCATCTTTTGCCACCCTTGTAAGCCAATACCGGTGGAGACGGATTGTTTGGTATGGGATTACCATAAGTAGCACCCAATTCCAGCAGAGATGTGTACACCCAGACCTGGAGAGCCTGTACAAACCCATCAATGGTGTAACAACCGGGTATATCTTTGCCCTTCACAGAGTCCATCAACACCTTAAACGCGACTCTCCCCCATGGATAATTCTCAAACCGTTCTAGATCCATCACTATCCTTGCCAGAACAGCCCATGTAGGGGTTGAGAACTTCCTCCCTTCAATGTATCCAGTGAAGATGGCAAGGTACCCGAGCCGGTTGCAATCATTCGGAGACCACTTTTGGCATCTCTTAAATGCTGCTATTATCTGATCAGTAGTTGTCCCAGCTTCGATATTAACCTCCAACAACTCTCAGAAAGCAGCCAACTCCTTTGTAACAGGATAGTTTGGTCTCTCAAGGTCCTCGATGTACTCGCAGTTTAGACCAGTGAGGTTTTCAAACTCTAACAGTGAAAACCTCAAAAGTTGTGGACCAACAATACTCCACAGCTCATACTTCTTCTTTATGTCGAGCTGCAAACCGAGCATGTAGTGAACCAGTCTTGAAGCCCATGAAAATCCAGCTCTTGGAACCTGATGAAAACTCCCAACTTAGACTCCTTCAGGTCTTCATATTCTTCATCATTGAGAGCATTCCTTAGAGCAGTATACAAATTCGTACACGGATGATACGAAATGCTATGAGGGAGTTCTGGAATATCCATTTTTTTCCTACAAAACAATCAAAATCAAACACAACATTCTCAAACACACAACCATCCAGTATAACATTTTAATTATAAGTCTGGAAGACTTTCCAGACGACTTAATTATAATTCGTCTGGAAAGTCTTCCAGTTGAAAGACTTATATTTAAGTCATCTGGAAAGTCTTCCAGGTAGAAGACTTTCCAGACGACTTAATTATAAGTCTACCAAGACTTCCAGTAGAACATTGGAAAGCTGACCTGAAAATTCGGAGAAGATATAGTCGCCTTCGACACAACGGTTATAGATCTGCAAAAAAAAAGACATGAAAAAAGAAGCGCGATGAGAACGACGGTGAGAATGATGTTTCATGTTCTTCTTTAGATATAACTTACCGGTGGCAGAGTTCAACGAAACGTCTCTAAGAAAAATGGCACTAGGGTTTACAGAAAAACGGCGCTAGGGTTTCCTCTCAGATTTGAAATAGAGGAAGCGGCGGTGAGAACGGTGGTGATAACGACGGTGGTAAGGCAGAGAGAAAACCGGCGTTGAAAACGATGGATTAGTGAGATTCGACGGAAATCGCCTTTAAAATCACCTTCGAGAGAAATGGCGTTAGGGTTTTCTGAATTTCGCGAAAAAGTGAGTAAAAAAAAAATCTTATTTATGTCCGGTAAAAAATCGGATAGGTTTAAAAGTAAATTGGTAAAATCAAAGGTTCGGTCTCGGTTTGGACCACTTATTATTAAGTCGTCTGTTGATACTACACATCAGACGACTTACTAATAAGTCGTCTAGCTTAAATATATTTACCAGACGACTTAATAGTAAGTCGTCTAGACCCTAAACCCTAAACTAAATTAACTAACTAACCACGTTATAAAATTAAATTATACTTAAATAGTGTTTACTATACACAGAAATAAACACTCTTAGGTAAATTTTAAATTTTCAAAAAAACATTTATGCTTTCGAAAATCTAACCCTAAGAAACACATACAATACTACAACATATGTTGGCAAAACCTAAACCAAAGAATATCATGACTCACTACTTTCACTCATCTATGTTGAAAATAATTAAATTTTGTTATATCTTAATTTATATCTCTTAAAACATATGTTAATTACAAGATTTCAAATTTTCATTTATCTAAATATTTTTTACAAAAATTTTAAATTATTTTTAAGAATAACTATACTTGACGACTTTCAACTAAGTCGTCTGGATAGAATACTTACGGGGGTTAGAAACGTAAAAAACGTTTCGGGTTTTTGTTTGTTCACAAGGGCCTGGTTGTAATTTCAATAGTCTTTTAGGTTACTTTTACATTTGATTCATGTTTGGGTTTACTTTTGCATTTGAAACCAAGTTTTGAGTCATATTTGACAAGTTTCCCAATATTTAAACTTTTTGGTAAGATCCTATTAGATAATTTCTCAACAGATTTTGTTATAAATGAAATTAAAATATAAATTTATAGTCAAATTGATTTATTACTAATATCTTATTAATTATTAAAATATTTATCCAGGAATATATATTTGATTGATTAATATAAATAATTAAATATGTCATATTAATGAAATGGTCTAAGATAACTTTTGTGTAGTAGATATTTTCTCTTTTAATATAGAAAAAGATGAGTATATCAGTTTAAATCAAGTTTACCGTGAATCAATAAATTAATATTTATTTATTTCCAAACAAGAAGGAAAATTCGTAAATGAACAAGAACATAACATTATATTCTAACAAAAAAAAAAACTAAAAGTAAAAAAACCACACTCGTCTTGATTTAGATAGATGCGTGTAGAAACCCTTGTCTTTACATAATTGATGTCTCAAAACTCAAATGAGATGATAAATACCTTACAAAACATATGAAACTCTCTTTCACTTAATTTTTGATGCTCGTCTACAGTTTAGCTCGTAAAACCTTTCTCAAAAGCTTTCCCGAGGCTGATTTCGGTATAGCTTTTACAAAAAACACCATCTTGATTCGCTTGTAGCGAACCACCTATATAGATCATTGCACAGGTTGATTTAATACATCGTAGTTTTTATCATGTGTGTTGCCCATGTTGAAGAGCAAAGAGATATCTCATAACCATACCTGTTTGTTGACATAATTCTTGACATCTTCTTCAGTTATCTGAGATCCTTCTGATCTAACCACACATGCTATGGGAATCTCATCAGCTATTTCATCCTTCATTCTGAAGTACCAAATATTATTACAAAAGACAAAACGTTAGATTTTTCGATTTTGAAAGGTTTCATATGTTTGTTTTTAAACTCACGTAACAACAGCAGCATCTTCGATATAAGGATGAGAAATAAGCAATGCTTCAAGCTCAGCTGGAGCCACTTGATAACCTTTGAATTTGATAAGTTCCTTCAGACGATCAACAATGAATATCTCATCGTCATCATCCACAAACCCAATATCTCCTGTGTGTAACCACCCGTCTTTATCTATGGTTCTGGCAGTAGCCACCGGATCATTCAAATATCCTAGCAAGATCACATCATTTTTCCCCATGGATCAAAGTAATTCTCCTAAAAGTAAACCAAAACAGACACTACATGAGCCTTACCTTTCATCAGTTGATGGCCTCGGACACAGATTTCACCAGATTTGTTGTGTGGTAAGGAGGCTCCGGTAATGGTGTCGACCACTTTCATCTCAGCATTTCTGATCACAGTCCCACACGAACCAGATTTGGTTTTAAACGGATTCTTTGCAAATGCTAAAGAATTAGCCACTGTTCCTGCCTCGGTCATTCCATAACTCTAACAATATGTTTTTATTTTTTAGTTATTACCAAAATTTAACAAACTACTATATTTTACAAATTAATTTAGTAGTATTATAATTTACTGAAGTGTAGTTACTATACAATCCAATTGCTTGATGACATGTGTAGTCAAGATATGGCAACTTATGATAATCAATGGAAACAGAATATTCTAATAATCCAACCTGAAGCTTTAACTACTAGATTAAGTCAATTTTCACATTTCAGCAAGCTTAAAAGTAAAATAAATATAAATTTGTTAAAAATAGTAAATAAATCTTTTTTTATTTCGAAAGAAACTATAAATATAAATATTGGAAATTTGGTGACACCATAATCTGAACAATGTCACAAATAGTCTTAAAGGTTGATATAAGTGAATCAACAAACCATATTTATTATATTGACCACGAGATTGTTGTGTATATACATAAAAACTCCATCTGATTACCACATGGCTCGAATCATATGTAATCTATTCAAATCAAAATAGCTCTGTTTCCAAGTAACTTCCAAGAATCATAACTTAATCTAACTTAATCTCAGTAGTCACACTTCTCGAATTTCTACAATTTTGTAGAGTCCCTATTTAATTTGCACGAAAATTTATGAAGAAATTTAAATAATTGTGAAATTGATAGCGTAACTAAACTGACCTGACCAAATATGGCACTAGGAAACTTGAGACGCACGGCGTCTTCAAGCTCCTTCTTGAGCGTAGCTGCGCCTGAAAGCATCATCCTCACGGAGCTCAGGTCGTATCTCTCCGTCTCCTGCGACTTAACTAAGGCTAAAACAACCGGTGGGGCCACCGGAACAACCGTGACCTTATACTTCTGAACCATCTCCATCACCATGCTCAACTCGAACCTCGGTAAGATCAATAACGCCGCGCCGGTCCTCATAGCTGAAAGCATCAACGAGCTGTGGGTGAAAGTGTGAAACATTGGGAGAAAACATATGATGACGTCATCTCTTGTGAAGTTGAGATTAGGGTTTTCTCCGTCGACTTTCTGAGCAATGCTCGTAACTAATCCTTTGTGAGTAATCATCACTCCCTTTGGAAGCCCCGTGGTCCCCGAGGAGTACGGAATCGACACCGTATCCTCGGGTGAGATTTTCGGTTTAGGAAGCTCTGTCTCGTCCGCTTGAGTTATTTCCGTGAAACTCACGCAACCGTCAGCTAAAGAAACGACGTCATTTCCGTCGTCTATACAAACGATGACAACACCAAGCTGTTGAAGGTTTGTTAGTTTGTCGACGTAACATCGTTTTGTGATGATCATCTTCGCGGCGGAGGCTTTTGCTTGTTTTGCTATCTCAGATTGTGTAAATAACGGATTCGCGGAGGTCGATACGGCTCCGAGGTAAACTACGGCGAGGAAAGATAGAGCAAACACCGGCGAGTTTGGGAGAAGGAGCATCACGGTGTCACCATGGCGGATCCCGAGCCGGTAGATTCCGGCAGCAATCCTCCGTAAATTGGTTTGTACATCGGCGTAGGTAAAGACACGACCGGTGGCACCGTCTATGAGACATGTGGTGGTAGAACCACAGTCTCTGTCGCCGGAGAACTTTTGGAAGACGTACTCGATGAGAGGAAGGTGGTTTGGAATGGAGATATCGGGAAGTTTGGACCGGTAAATGAAATCTTGAGAAGGTTCTTGATCTGTCTTTTTTGTGAGAGAAAGGGTTTCTTGTTGTCGGAACGCCATTTGGGTGGAGATTCCAAATGTAGTTTAACCTTTGTTACTAATTACTATAATGGTCGACGAGTCCGGTTTTACGTGTTAAAAATTCTCCTGGTGATAAGGTTTTGCAACTACTCTCTCTAAAGATGACATCTCAATAAATGCATGTGAGCCATGCACCAGTCAAATCGCAATAATTCAACATGTAGACCATCTTCTATTTTTTTATGGTTTCGAAACGTGCAACCCGAGTCCGGAGCTGCATTACTTAATTGTACCAACATTTTTAGGTAAAAAGGAAACCAATTATTATCAATTAAAAACCTATCTCAGTTTCTCTTCGGCTGACGACCTACAATTTCATCAATCATGGGCTTTGATTTGGAGTACTATATGTAGTGATATACTTTTTTTTTTTTTTTAAAGGATGTAGTGATATACAACTCCTTACCTTGGCTTATTTCTATCAATTTCTTAACTCCAAATTTTTTTTTTTTAATTCTTGATATATATACGATCTCTTGTTTACTGGTGTATCATTTCAATGTGAACTTTAATTTGATCATCTCAGTTCTGAAGACCAATTTTTCCTTAATCTTTCATTCATCTTTTTATATATCTTGCAATCATCGTATGATTCATATCCTAGTACTAGCTTTCTATGAAATAAAACTATTAAATAAATTTTCTTTTATATAAGTTTTAGCATGCATTCGTTGAAGATCTAGTGTTGTTTTGACCAAAATGGAAAAACAAAAAAAAAAGATATTTTCGAAGTGTTTGAGGAAATTTCTTTGTAGAGATTATAGGTCTTCGGATTCAAACATAAACTTCTTTGTGAAATTCAACTTATGTTTTTTTTTCATTTTCTTTTGATTTCGTTTTATAATAGTTTCTAATTTAATTTTATATTGTCTAATAAAAAATGAATGAGCATTTACAAAAATAATTTGGAGTAGCTAATATCCGAAAAACTAATTGGACAGAATAAAAGAAAATCTTTAAAACAAATCATGTCCGCGACTAATCCTGCTAGCTTATTACTCCCTACGTACTTCAGAGACAGAATCCTCTTTAGAGTGGATTTGTCAATATGCATGACCAATTGACCATTGTCTGCTTTTTTATAATATTACGTTGGGTTAGTAAATTAATTACTTATAATTTTTTTTCTTACAATTTATTACTTAAAGTAAATTGAACGAAACTTTTTTTTATTATACTACTAGATTTTGATCTGCACATTCGTGCGGATATTTTTCATTTTAAGAATGTAGAATGTTGATGTTATTATAAATATTTTAAATATATAATTTTATTTTAGTGTTATATATTGTGTGACATTCTTTTGTTTAAATAATATAGACATGCTATTTTAGTGAATTATATACATAGTAGCATTTATCATATTATTTTAGTAAGTTTTATTGATATAAAATATTTTTTGGATGTTATGATATTAAGTTTTTTTTGTAATTAAATTGAGATTTCACAATATAAGATTACTTTAATTTTTACAGCATTAGTTTGTTTTTCGTGTTACATTTCAAGAAGTTATTCTTTATACTTTAAGATTCTATCGTTTGTAAAATTTGAAATATTATCATTCAAAGCTTGAATATTTATTTTCAAAATTATGTTTTGTCAAAAAATTGGAAAATTACACAGCTATTTTTGAGTTGGAAGATTATATGATTTTTAATTTTTTACTACATAAATACATTATTAATAAAAGTAAATTTAATTTCTGTTAAGAGTTTTATATATTTGTCAACATATTATTAAACAGTATATGAACTAAAGGTTAGTTATAAACTATTATTTTTTTTAGATTCTTAAATAGTATATGAACTAAAGGTTAGTTATAAACTATTATATTTTTGTTTATTTTAAAACAAAATACTGTTGGGAATTTCAAATAAATAGAAAAGAAAATATGTAGTTGTAGATATAAAAGTTTAAGATATGTTAATGCTATATAGTTTACAAATTTAACACACTGAACGATGAGTGATAACTTATTTAAATGAAAATAGATCAATTTGTTTATTTAATATAATTTTGTCATATTTAATTTATATAGAACTTGTACGTTAATATAATACATAATATAAGTTAAAAATATAAAATAGTATAGAATTTTTAGTTTCTTGTTTTATAGTAAATTTTTAATTAACATTAATTTATAATATTATATTACTAATTACAGAATTAATTATATATTAATTCTATAAAAATATGTTAGGAGGATTTTGTTAGATTCCTTGTCAACAGAATTTGTTACAATTAAACATCAAATTCAAATTTATAGTTGATTTATAATTAATGTAAATAATCAAATATGACATATGAACTAAAGCTTTAGGTGGTCCAAGTATGACTTGTTATCAATGTATAAAACAGAACTCTAAATTAGTAGATTAAAAATTAATATATTTTTGTATTATATTTTTGAGAGTTTTAAAATAAAATAAAAAAGAAAATGTGTAGTTATATATATATATGTTTAACCTATGTTAATAAATTTGTTTGTATAAAATATTATATAGTTAACGAATTTTAACACATTTTTAAGATGAGCGATATTTATTTAAATGAAACTATATACAAAAGGTCAATTTACCTATTTAATATAATTTTCTCATATTTAATTCATATAGCACTTTTATTTTTATATAAATAGTATAATTATAAGACTTACAAAAAATAGGATATAACCTTTTTTAGAATAAATATTTAATTAACATTAATTTCTAATAATATTATAATATAATTAAGAAATTAAGTAATGTGTGATTTTATAAAAAAAAAACACTTAAAACATTATTAGGATTTTGTTGGATTCTTTATCAATAGATTTTGTTATATTAACTAATTCTTTACCAATAGATTTTGTTATATTATTAAAATATAAAATTTAAATTTGTAGTTGGTTTATTATTAATGTAAATAATCTAATATATCATATTAACTAATTCTTTAGATAGTCCTAGTATGACTTGTTAACAGTAGATAAAAATAGGACTATGTTTTATTAGATTTGATTATAACAAAAGCAAAAATAGATCCTAACATTGATTTATTATGTGATATTACCAAATTTAAAACCTTATATAAACTATGTATCCTAATATATTGTCTAACAGCTTAATTATTCATCCAATTCAATTAAATTTATAAATATTCTAAATAAGATAACTAAAAAGATATTCATACAAACTTTTCTAAGATTTCAATCTAAAAACAATTATTGTATGTATATTGTTAAATATATACAGTTTTGAGTATTAAACTTCACAAATATCTAAATAATTCTGTAATTATTATTAAATAAATGTTATACATTAATATTAATTTAAATTCGACTTGTATACAAAATATAATATTTACAATATTATATATATAAATTATTAGCTTTATTAAATATTAGATTCAATAAATATAGTTAATAATTCAATCTATTCATTAAATTCCAAATTATTTAATTAAATTGTAAATACACAAAATAACAAAAATAATAGATTTTATAATATATATTAATTATAAAATAAATATTAAATCAGTGATAATTAATTCGAATTTATAAAATCATTTTTTTAACATTTAGATCACTACAAGAAAAAACAAACATTTACCAACTACATAATTAGTCACCTATCAGTCGCTAAGTAGTACAATACGACCAATTTACGACTGATCGACCTAGTTGGAAATCATCGTGTCGCAAAACTCATCAGTCGTAAATTAGTCGGTATTTAGCAAACAATTTAGGATTGATTTGTGATTAGACAGAAAAGTCGCACTTCAGTAGCTATTTAGTCTTTAAATTTTCTGACTAAATTTCCACAGGATTACTACTGAATTGTGACTCAGTAAACGTCGTTAAATGGTCGCAAGGCCGTTAATCCGTAGTAAAACATTCAGTCGCTAAAACGTCACAATATAACCACAGAGGTATGACGGATAACTACTTATGTTTACCACTCTTTTTCAAATCTCAACCACCCGGTTTTTCCCAAAATAGCAAGTTTTTAGGGTTTCCACCTTCGAAAACCAGGAACCAGCCACCCCTTTTCACTCCTCCGGCGGGAGACTTTGTCTTCTAGCCGTTGGTTACTTCAGGATCGAGGGTCACTCTCCGAAGTAACCAACTCTTCCCGACTTGCAGCTTCCTCAGACTCAGTCTAAGCTTTCCAGGAACTACTATGGCTAGAAGGTTCACCTCCACTGAAAAAGGAAAGGGCCTAGGCTCAAACCTTCATGGTCCGGAGCGGAAAAGGATAAGAGCCCCAGACTTCGACAACTCTGCACTTATTCAAGAGAACCGACGCACGCTGGTCGGACGGGTCACAAACACACGCTACCAGCAAGTTCTCCATATCATAGAGGAACTCCCCAAAGCTTGGCCTCTCAACGGGAAAGTCTCAGGCTCAGATCTGGGTCACGATACCTTCCAGTTCCGATTCGAACTTGAAGAAGATTTACAAGTGGTACTTGCTAATAGACCTTACCACTCCAACTCCTGGATGATAATCCTCCAAAAATGGGAACCTGTGCTATCCCCCTCCTTCCCGTCTAAAATTCCCTTTTGGATTCGTCTTAGAGGTCTCCCCCTCCACTTCTGGCATGAGAAAATGATGCTTAACCTAGCCAAGGAACTAGGGACTCTTGAGGACCACAAGATCTCGCAAACTTCGGTCAGGATTCGTGTACTGCTTGATGGACTCTCCCCGCTGACAAAAGAGACTGTCATTGAGTTTGGATCTGGAGAGGAACTGATGATTTCACTGGAGTATGAAGGACTACAAAACTCTTGCACCAACTGCAACAGACTCACTCACCACTCAAGACACTGCACGCTTCCCATCTTTAACGAACCAGCCTCCTCCATTCTCAGA